AAGACAGGCAGAGTAGGGGCTGGGATGTGTGACATTTGGAATGAGGAAGCAGGAGCAGCTGTGGCAGGTAGCAGCTGGGAGCCCAGTTTGGATTCTTCGTTCTGTTTTGTGATAACTGTCCATGGATTTTGTTTGATAATAAATGGCAAAGTAACCCTCTGACGCCCTTCTTCATGTGGGAGTGACTGTGTATCCATGAAAGTGTGGAAACCAGGAGAGAGGAAAAAAGATTATGGTGTGCTGGGTGTCTCTGTGTATAGTGGAACATTGCGAATTAAATATGGAAGGGGAAAAGCATAAGTGGAGAGGTGGGGCAGGGAATTGGAGAGAGGCGAAGGGTAGAAAGAGTCAACTAAAACCACGTAGAGAAGAACAATAAGGGAACTCAATACTTGTTAAACTAATAAAAAATTCAACTAACATGAAAGTTTGAGCAGAGCACCCTGTCTGGGTGGATGAGGTACTCCCAGAAGCCATTGGTCTCGAGGCCAATGAGGTACCTTCCTATGACTTGTTAATCAGGGAGGCCTCTGATTAACAACGAAGGCAATTGCCAATCCTGTCATTTGGTAAGATCCTCCTCCTGAAAACACCAAGAGCTTGGGTCACAGGTCATGGAGAATCCACATTGGACCTGGGCAGAAGCTTCCTCCCTATTGTCTAACTTTCACAGCTTGTGAAGGAGCTATGCAGGTTGTCGAGGGAGAACTGTCATCAGCAGTTGGCACTGAACCCTGTGTGCAACAGTAATGACCAGCCAGGTTAGAGGAGCCCACCAGTTTGATAGTAGAAAGTCTGTTAAGAGACTTTCTATTGCTGTGATAGATGTCATGACCAAAAGCAAGTTAGGGCAGGAAAAGGTTTCTTTAGTTTCTCTGTCAGGTCACACTACATCACTGAGAAAAGTCAGAGCAAGAATTCCATCAGGACAGGAGGAACTCCAGCAAGACGGAAGCTTGAAACAAGAACCATGGAGGAATGCTGCTGATTGGCTTGCTCCCTCTGCCCACTGCTCAGTCAGCCTTCTAGTGCAACCCAGACTCACATGATTAGGGGTAGCACTGCGCACAGTGGGCTGGGCTCTTCTTCAGTATTTAGCAACCAAGAAAATGACCCCAAGACATGACCACACTCCAGTCAAATGGAGGCAGTCCCCCAGGTGAGGCAGGTAACTCTGAACTGAATTAAATTGACAGTGGAAGGTAACTAGCAGAAAGGGTAACTAAGCACTTTTAGATTGGACTTGATGCCTGTTCCACAGGAGGGAATGTACATCTAGTACTGTAGAATCAGCCAGAAGCCAATACTGGATATGGTAGTTTGAATGTAACTGGCCAAAGTCAATACTGGATATGGCAGTTTGAATGTAACTGGCTCATAGGGAGCGGCACTATTAGGAAGTGTAGCCTTGTTGGAGGAAGTGTGTCACTGTGGCGGTGGGCTATGCTCAGTGTAACACAGTTGCTTCCTGGCTGCCTGTGGATCAAGATGCAGAACTCTCAGTTCCTTCTCCAGCCCCATGCCTGCCTGCACGCTGCCATGTCCCGCCGTGATGACAATGGACTGACCGTCTGAACTGTACGCCACCCCAGTTAAATGTTTTCCTTTATAAGAGTTGTCATGGTCATGGTGTCTCTTCACAGTAATAGAAACCCTAAGACAGGGGGCGGGCCAGTGAGATGGACATGACAACCTGAGTTTGATCCCTGGAGCCTACATGGTGGAAGAAGAGAACTGATTCCTGTAAATTATCATCTGACCCACATTCACAACTCAGCATATGTGTACCTACCACCACCATTAATTAAGAAAATAAAAAAAAAAGCTTTTGCTTTGTTTTAAAACAGGGTTTCAGCCGGGCGGTGGTGGCGCACGCCTTTAATCCCAGCACTCGGGAGGCAGAGGCAGGCGGATCTCTGTGAGTTCGAGGCCGGGCTGGACCGATAGCCTCCGAAACAATACAGAGAAACCCTGTCTCATAAAACCAAAAATAAATAAATAAATAAATAAAACAGGGTTTCTCTGTGTATCCCTAGCTGTCCTGGAACTAGCTCTGTAGAGCAAGCTAGTCTAAAACTGAGAGATCCATCTGCCTCTGTCTCCTGAGTGCTGGGATTAAAACCATTCACCACCACCGCCTGGCTTGCTGCAAAATATTTCACTGCCTCAGCTATTCCTACAAGGTAATGGGTCACAAGACTAAACAGGCTAACTGCTGAGTTCCGCTTCTGTATAAACAATCGCTTGGCGGCTGAGGCCCCTGCTGCATGTCCTTTAGAAAATCAAGCCTTGCGTGCACCCAGACAGGATATGAGTTTATGGCTCCCAAAATTAGAACTTTATAGGTTTTGCCTTTATGATTCTTGGACTAATAATAACCAGGGACTTACTCTGGATCAGTACTGGCCACATTCTTAATTAAAGAAAAAAAAAGTAAGTCAGACTGGTGACTCTGAATGAACCAGGCCCACAACAGGTTCGCTGTCTGGGGTGAGTAAAT